TTCATAGAAAGAAGGCATTCCAGATTTTAAAAGGTACCTCAAAACTGATCAATAACATTTCCACGTTTTCTAATCATTCACAATTTCAATGCAACTAATTGGTATTATGTAGTTGAAATAAATTTCAAAGAAAACAAAGAGTTTAATTTCCATTGGTGTTGAAAATATCACACGGAGTATATTTGTAGAAAGGTCTGCAGCAAGAGTTTCAAATATTCTTATAACAATTGGCTTCTGATGATGGAAAACAAATGAAATATTCATTTGTGCCTTCCCAAAAACTTAGCCTCCATTTTAATACAATTTAATGCACAGAAAGAAGCAGAATCCAAGAAATGAAAGCTTATACTGTCTTCTGTCGTAGCTCTTTCTTGTCAAACCCTTGTTGCCCCCCTCGAGTATAAATGGTTTATAAATTCAGTCAAATTTAAATATTAATTTCAATTGCACATTCATGACTACTCATTATTATTCACGCATTTCGTGCGACCAACTACTATTCCTCAATATAAACCATTTATAAATTTTTAAAACGGTGGCTTACTGTTACTTTTGCTGTCATGGTTGTATAAACTGGACCAGATCCACAGGTCAGACCAGAAATCCCAACCTAGGTATTACTTAAATGTTCTTTTCCAAAAACAAAAAAATTAAAATTAAAAACCTGTGAAAATAAACTTTTAAATAACCTTCTCATAACTTCATTTTCTCGCAAACAAGAAGGAAAAACCCATAAAGACATTTACGGTCAGGCTAGGGATGGCATTTCATCAAAACAGTTGTGAGTAAGTTCATCAACATCTTCTCAGCTAAAAATATACATAACACAAATGTCTAAGGAGTAAATCCAATGCTAAATAATTTCAGTGACAAATATGAGGTAATTGTCATCATTACAGATGGTCAAAAAGTTCAATTACTGTAAACATACCAGTTAATTTTGCTATATTACTCGTAGAAGTACTGCTGTTTTGGCAGCAAGCGTGCATCTCTATCTTTAAGAAGCAGGATGGATAAAAGAGCTTGCAAAGTCTTACGTTTTAAAATTTGAAATTCAATCAAACTACCACAAAATGTTATTTCACTACCCAAAGTAAAAGGCTAAATCCTATTTATTGTAAGGATAAGTGACTCTCAGTCCGCATTCCATGCCCCCATAATTTCTTATATCACTGTTCATAGAATGCTAAGCAGCTGCCTAGTAGCAGCCAGACACTTGCACGTGTATTAATGCTTCCTGGACATGAATTGCTAATGTAATTCATCTAAGCAGCTTGCAAGCAGAAGCAAGTTCTCACTGATTCAAGGCCATAAACTGGCAGTACAATAATCAAATGTTAATAGATTTTAAGTTTAAATGCAAAAAAAGTCTATGTGTGTGCCCAACGTGGAAGTGAAACAGGAATTGTGGGACTAGCAATAACAAAAACCAGTAAATCCACAAATGTAGAAGACATGGACTTGAGATAAAGTTGCATATCAAATCCGTTTGTTAGTATCACATAAAATGCTCAGCTATTAAATAACCAACTGAAAACCTGGACCAGCTTAATTGTCCATTCCATGCATTGAATGGAGAAGCAAATATTAAAGAGGAGTACCAACATAAAAAGGGTAGGCAATATCTACGTGGAAGAGGAAGGAGAATGAGAAGAAACATTCTCCATAAAGGTAGTTATGGTCTGTCAGGTCCAGGATGGCATTTCGCGAAAACAAGGGTGAAAGGTTCACTAAAACCTTCTCTGCAAGAGCCCTTTGGTACACAAATGCCCAACGAGTACATCCAGTGTTAAATTATGTTTTCAGGATTTTGAAATTCAATTGAACTACCACGGAATGTCATTTCATTCCCCAAAATACAACGCTAAACCCCATTCACTGTATAGATAAGTGACTATGAGTCTTCTCTCGTTCGACCTTCCGGCTTCCATGCCCTCCATAATTTCCTATCTCACTATTTGTAGAATTCTAAGCAGTAAGCCAGACACTTGCATGTGTTATTATGCTTTGCAGTCATGCTAACTTACATAATTCATCTATTCTAAGCAGCCTCGCAGCAGCTCAGCCACTGCTTCAAGGCCACTAAAATAATGCAATTCTAGAGTGTGCAAGTGAAAGTGAGATAGATGGCATATATTTTGGGTAAGGTTTGCACATCAAATTCGCTTGTTAATATCACAGTATAACCATCTAGAAAACCCTAACCCGCAACAACGACATTCAGTCAACGGATAATAAAGATAAAATGCACAGAGAAGGAAAAAATGAAAGAAGAGTACCAAGGCAGAAATGTATAGGTAATGGCTAATTAGGAGATGAAGAGACAATCTCCGTGATCTTCTTGTCCCGTCTCTCCATCGCTACGTCCCAAACGTCATTTCCAATATGCTTCGGCTGCCAAAAAATCATAATTAATCAATCTATTCAGTAATTATCACTGATTGAAGAGGGAAAAAAAGAAGAAGATCAATTGAAATACATAAAAATGGATGCATACTCCGCCATGGGCGGCCTTGTGGATGAAATATTGAGCATTGCCCATCACGCAAAGCATGCCTGCTATGATCCCTAACGGCAACACTGCTTCCAACCAGATCAACCCCATCTCTCCGAGTCTCTCTCTCTCTC